TATTTGGAAGTAGGTTACCAGGCCTTTCTTCTAAGGCGCCAGTGGGTGGACTCAGACCAGCCACCTTTTGGAGCGTGTCTGAGTGGATTCACGACTTCACCACACAAGGACTTGATATTGAACTCGGTTCCCTCCACCTACACATGCCAGGCTCTTCCGGCTGCCCTTGTAGATGATACGGGCTTTCTCCCGCAGGGACACATAGCTGCTCCCTGGAGCCCTTGGGTTGGTCTGTGAGAGGGTTCCGGCCAGAGATACCAGCCTGGTCCCATTCATGTCTCTCATGAGAGGCTGGGCAGGACAGTTAGTGTCCAGAGACATCTTTGTCCCTGTGACTAGCTTCTGGGGCTCTCTGCTTACACTGGAGGTCACCAGTCTGAGACCACCTGCCCAGGTGACCTGAGGTCCACTTGACTTTGAGGAGCCAGCTCTTGGCCTGTCTGAGGTCACCTGCTTGCCACAAAAAACCTATAAATGAATGGATGGGGCTGTGCTTCAAGAAAGCCGTATCCACAGAAACAAGTGGCGTTGTCCATGGGCCGATATAGTTTGCCAACCCCTGGCCCGGCTTATGAAACACGGGCAACTACGGAACGTGTCTTTGGGCTGATGGCACGTGTATCTGATCGCACGGTGGTCAAAGGGCTTGCTTTAGAATCGAACACTGGGTGGTTCGAACCCACCGGCTCGTCCACAGGAGAAAGATGGGGTGGTCTGCTTGCAGGCAGGTTTGCCACCTTGGGAACCCAGGGGGCAGCCTCACCGTGTGCTACAGGGCCGAGAAGAGTTGGACTTGACTCACAGCAGCTGCAGAAATAGTGGGTTCGTGTCTGAGGAAGGACGCTGAGGACGGTGAGCTGTGAAAGGAGCTGCACCCCCCCTCCTTCCTCCGGGCTCCACGGACCTGCCACCCACCCTCCCCTCGGAAGGTCTGAGCTCCATCTCCACCCGACAGGCAGCAACAGGTCGATGGGCCCACAGGTCTTATACAATGGCTCTGGGGGCTGAAGAATGTGGTTGCTCACGGGAACCCTGAATCGGGGTTGGCGGGTCCCTTGAGGCTCGCATGGAATTTCTTCTCTGGTGCAAATGGCTAACACATTTGGCTGCCGTCTGAAAGCCCACCCGGAGGCACCTCGGAAGAAAGTCCTGGCCATCTACTCTCCCAAAACCATCCA